TTGTTACAGGGCTACTTAAAGAGAGAAACTGGGACAAGACAGTTCTTCACAAAACAGCATGTGCCTGTCAGCCCAAACCACACTGCAGAAATACTGCCGATTGCTAAAACAAATAAGGGTTTGTACCTTACCTAAGAGGTTCTGCTCCTAAGCCATTTTCGTCTGCAACACACTGTAGAGTTTTGTCAGCTGCTGACATCACACTGCTGAGGGACTAATCTTCTTCGATCATGTCAAAAATGCTTTCCTGCAGTTCCTCTTGTGTACCCGGTTTGATGCGTTCTAAAACAGAGAAACATTGAAAGGAGTCATTTCAGGTAATACAGGTCTTTTTCTTGTCTGCTCCAGGAGAAGACCCTTTTCCAGGGATCATTGACATACATGGACTTGGAGGAGGTCTTCTTGAGCACAGAGCCAGCCTCCTGGCCAACCATGGCTTTGCCACGCTGGCCCTGGCTTATTATCAATATGAGGATCTGCCCCAGAAGCCAACTGAACTCCACCTGGAATATTTTGACGAGGCGGTGAACTATATGCTGCAGCACCCACAGGTAGGAGCACCATCCATGTCCCCAGGGCTCCAGGGAGCCACTTCTCCAAAGTGCCGGTCACTGACTTCTCTCTGGAGGAAACTGCCAAAATACTCCCTGGCATGGCTGTCCTCTGCCAGCACTTTGGCTGCCCGAGTCCTAGGGAAGAGGCAGGCTCAAAAGCATACGCACTGGGAGAGTGGTGGAGAGAGATCACAAAGCAACCCCACATTAGAGACAGCTGAGACATAACAAGGTGGGACGGTTGTGCAGGAGACAGCCTTCACCAGTTGCCACCAACATGAACTCCGATAGTCTTAAAAGTGAAAAGGAAAGAGCATCTGCCCGTGTCTGAGACTAATAGCTCTTAGCTCTGTCCTACAACCTGTCCTCAAATCGGTGTAATCGAGTTCCCTCTCTCTTGGCTGATGTCAGACCACCAGGGAACGTTATCAAAGGCAGAGGTTTGAAGGGTGAAGTGTGCTAGACACTTGTCCAGCAGAAAAACTGATCACTGCCACCACCTCCTTCACAGTGTTTTGCAAACTCTCGGCATTATACAACGTTCCCCAGCAGGAATGAGCTGAGCTCTTGTGTTTCCCAGTTCACTGCTGATGGGGATTTCCTCCTGTCTACCAGGTGAAGGGACCAGGGGTCGGACTGCTCGGTTACTCCAAAGGAGCTGATCTGTCTCTCGCCATGGCTGCCTTCCTGAAGAACATCACAGCCGTTGCATCCCTCAACGGCCCCGTAGCCATTACCTGTATTCCTCTCCGGTACAAGGATAAAACCATCCCCTCTTTGCCACTCATTGAAGAAAAGGTCAAGGTCATTGATTCCAATATCCTTGATTATTCTGACGTTGTTCTTGATGCCTTTCAAGCCCCTGGCAACCAAAGCCTGATCCCACTAGAGAAAGCTGAGGCACAGTTACTGTTCATTGTGGGACAAGATGACCATGTTCTCAAAACTGAGTATTATGCTACGGAAGTCTGCAAGCTTCTGCAGGCTCAAGGGAAGGAAAATTTTCAGATTCTCTCCTACCCTGGAACAGGCCACTGCATTGACCCTCCATATTTCCCCTTGTACCCCGTGGGAAACCATCCCGTTTTTCACAAGCGAGCAATCCTGGGTGGGGAGCCCGTGGCTTATTCTAAAGCTCAGGTTCATGCTTGGCCAAAGATCCAGGCTTTTTTCAAGAAATATTTAAATGACAACTAATGGGAAAAAAACAATAACATGCAAGCGACACACAACTCTGAACAACCAGATCCCATACATTCTTTTACATTTCCCAGGTCAAACCTGGTTCACAGGGTTTGATACAGCCACAGCATCTCCCACAGCTTTGCACATCCCAAACTCAGAAAAGAACTGGGTTTGCCTTGTATGGTTTTCCCTGAACTTTTTTGCTTACACGGACTGGCAAATAGATTTGCATTAGCTCGTGAGAGAACAGATCATGTGCAAAATGCTCAGTTACCTTTCTCAAGTGCTTTCTTCTAATACTTGATAGTACTTTGCATATCACTGTGGTCTCTACATGCATTTCCTATCCTCAGCTCATACTGTAAAGTAACAGGTCTCCAATGCTAATTGGAGCGGTTTTTCACCACTCATTTAGGTGAATGGAAGCATTTCCATCACAAATGGAAATGTCTGATCTCTGTGCTGCTGCAAGGGTATAAGAATGGATGCTACAGGCAGGATTATGGGGTATCTCTGTTTCACCCCTGGGAAGGGTTGTTTTCCCTCTGTATCTTTTCCATCTTCCCATCAGAAGGGAGTGCTCTGGCTCGTGGATACTTCTGGTCCCAAGATGCCAGAAGCCATTCTGCTAAATTTACAGCCATTGTGATCTTCCCCCACCTGATGTGGAACGTTTTTGCCTTCATTATTGGTGTGAGAACTGTAATAAAGAGCCTGAGATTTGAAAGCCATGGAGTCATTTGCTGTGCTTTGGTCAGAAGCCGGGATCTTTGCAGGTCAACCACTATCTCATCCCAGAGGAGGATCCCTGTGAGTGTAAAGGACCCAGGGCTCCAGCACCTCCTCGGAAGAGCAGGCACACTCATTACAAGAAATTGTATGTGATTTACTGCCACCAGCAGCCCCAACTGCTTTGTCATCCTCCAGTTGCCAGAGGCAATGCTCCCTGGAAGATGCTCCCGCAATGGCATGGAACTGGCTGTGCCAATCCTGCCCTGCCTTTTGCTGCTGACAGGGCTGCAGCAGTGACTCCAGGCATCCTGGAAAGGATGGTCTGTTCCCACGCAGTTCCTGCCCCAATTCCCCTCCCCTCGCCTCTGTGTGGGAAGCTGGTTTTATAGAAGAAACCTCCAGCCTGAATGCAGACGCAGTGGAGGCAGCAACACAGGAGCCATGTGGCAGGTCACTGCCCTCTCCCTGTGCCGGGCAAGCTCCCGCGGCTGGCAGAAGCGGCTGCCCCAGCCCAGCCCCGCACCCGCAGCCCCGCAGCCCCGCAGCCCCGCACGGAGCCCCGGGACAGCCCCTGCCCGCGGCCTCTCCTCCATGGCCCCCTCCATCCGCCTCTCGCCCGCCGCCCGCAGCCTCTTCGATGAGCCGCTGGCCATCGCCGTGCGGGGCCTGGGCCCGCAGCAGCCCGTCACGCTGCGGACGTCCTTGCGGGACGAGACGGGCGAGCTCTTCCAGGCCTGGGCCCGCTACCGGGCGGGGGACGACGGGGAGCTGGACCTGGCCCGCTGCCCCGCGCTGCCGGGAGGCAGCTTCTCCGGCCTGGAGCCCATGGGGCCGCTCTGGGCTCTGCAGCCCCAGAAGCCCTTCAGGCGGCTGGTGAAGAGGGACGTGCAGCGTCCCTTCCTCCTGCAGCTGGAGGTGTTTGATGGCCACGGGGAGCCCCCCGGGCGGCTCCTGGCCCAGGCACAGCACGAGCGGGCGTTCCTGCGGGACGGGGTGCGCAGAGTCCCGGTGCGAGAGGGGAGGATCCGGGCGACGCTTTTCCTGCCCCCCGGTGAGTACCGGCCACGGCCACTCTCTTTGCCTTAATCCAATGTTTTGTCTTTGCAAACCAATGTTTTGTTTCCATGATCTCTGGAAACAGGAGTCCATGAAAGGTCCCGTCCTTCCTTTCCTCTCTTCTTCTATTCCACACCACCGACCAGCCTGACCATCATTCCCAGTTCCCCTGGCTGTGAGGGTGCCAGGGCATGGATGCAGAAGCAGGTAGAGGGTTAATCCTCCTTGCCCAGATCTTGAGGTTACAAATATGAGTTTGGTGGATACTCCCTCTCACCCCAGCACAGTAGCAATTAACTATGTGGTGACCACCGTCCACCATGTTGGGGTTCCTGTGGACATTGTAACTTTATAAAAGGGGGAAGAGGAGGAGTCCAAGAACATTTACAGTAATTAAAGCTTTCCAGAAGGAAAAGACAATCACTAATTGCTCTGGAAAGGGTGTAGAGCACCTCTCTGAGATGTAAGAGTTGCCCAAGGTACCACCAGGCTGTAGCAACTTCTGGGCAGCTCCACAGAGACTTCCCTGGCAGAGTCCAGGGCGCAGGAGGGATGATTTCTCAGAATCAGCATCCCACCTGCAGCCAGGCCAGGGCTCCTTCCCCTGCCTCACCTCTGCCCCCACCTGCTGACCAGCACATGGATGAAGCCAGCTGCATACATCCTGTATCCAAAAGGTTCTGCCTCCCCTGAGCTGAGGCATTTACAATAAACCAAATGCTGGTGCGTTTCCTCAGCGTCCCTTGACCCACTACTCGTGTGTGTGTTTTAAAATGATAGGTCTTTGTTGCACTCCATGGTGCTTGGGATTATTTCCTTGGCACAGGACAGAAGGAGTTTGTTCTCACCCTGCCACCACCAGAGCCAATCTTCAGCTTAGCAAGACTGTAAGCTGGGTCTGTAGTCAGTATTTCTGTTACACAGTTCCATTTGGAGATGTGTTTCACCACTATGATTTCCCCACACTCAAATCATCATGCACTGAAATCCCTCTATCAAGATGTTCAGTTTGTGGGAGTGCTCTATGCTGCACATTCAGATTCAGGAGTTGCATACTCCTCAGCAAATGACTTAAGACCACATAAAGGTGGAAAGCTCAAAGGGCTCTTGCTACAGTAGTGTCCCACCTCCCTTGAGCAACGCCACAGCCTTATTCAGCATTACCACCCTTTCCATGCACGTTCAGTGCGAGCCCACAGAGCAGTGCTTCACTCAGCCAAGCCATGGGACACCGACAGCTGCACTCCTGGTCTCCAGGATACACACCACTGCTCTGGATGCCCACAGTCAATGGGGACTCTATGTGTGGTTGCTTATGTACAGACAGTGGCAGATAGAATAGCACACTGCAGAGATACTGCCGATTGCTAAAACAAATAAGGGTTTGTACCTTACCCAAGAGGTTCTGCTCCAAGCCGTTCTTCCTCTGCAACGCACTGGAGAGTTTTTTCAGCTGATGACACCACGCTGTCGAGGGGCTGATTGTGTCTTTCCACGAGAGATGCTTTCCTGCAGTTTCTCTTGTGTACCCGGTTTGATGCGTTCTAAAACAGAGAAACATTGAAAGGAGTCACTTCAGGTAATACAGGTTTTTGTCTTCTCTGCTTCAGGAGAAGACCCCTTTCCAGGGATCATTGACATGCATGGATTCGGAGAAGGTCTTTCTGAGCACAGAGCCAGCCTCCTGGCCAACCATGGCTTTGCCACACTGGCCCTGGCTTATTATCAATATGAGGATCTGCCCCAGAAGCCAACCGAACTCCACCTGGAATATTTTGACGAGGCGGTGAACTATATGCTGCAGCACCCACAGGTAGGAGCACCATCCATGTCCCCAGGGCTCCAGGGAGCCACTTCTCCAAAGTGCCGGTCACTGACTTCTCTCTGGAGGAAACTGCCAAAATACTCCCTGGCATGGCTGTCCTCTGCCAGCACTTTGGCTGCCCGAGTCCTAGGGAAGAGGCAGGCTCAAAAGCATACGCACTGGGAGAGTGGTGGAGAGAGATCACAAAGCAACCCCACATTAGAGACAGCTGAGACATAACAAGGTGGGACGGTTGTGCAGGAGACAGCCTTCACCAGTTGCCACCAACATGAACTCCGATAGTCTTAAAAGTGAAAAGGAAAGAGCATCTGCCCGTGTCTGAGACTAATAGCTCTTAGCTCTGTCCTACAACCTGTCCTCAAATCGGTGTAATCGAGTTCCCTCTCTCTTGGCTGATGTCAGACCACCAGGGAACGTTATCAAAGGCAGAGATTTGAAGGGTGAAGTGTGCTAGACACTTGTCCAGCAGAAAAACTGATCACTGCCACCACCTCCTTCACAGTGTTTTGCAAACTCTCGGCATTATACAACGTTCCCCAGCAGGAATGAGCTGAGCTCTTGTGTTTCCCAGCTCACTGCTGATGGGGATTTCCTCCTGTCTACCAGGTGAAGGGACCAGGGGTCGGACTGCTCGGTTACTCCAAAGGAGCTGATCTGTCTCTCGCCATGGCTGCCTTCCTGAAGAACATCACAGCCGTTGCATCCCTCAACGGCCCCGTAGCCATTACCTGGAAACTGCCAAAATACTCCCTGGCATGGCTGTCCTCTGCCAGCACTTTGGCTGCCCGAGTCCTAGGGAAGAGGCAGGCTCAAAAGCATACGCACTGGGAGAGTGGTGGAGAGAGATCACAAAGCAACCCCACATTAGAGACAGCTGAGACATAACAAGGTGGGACGGTTGTGCAGGAGACAGCCTTCACCAGTTGCCACCAACATGAACTCCGATAGTCTTAAAAGTGAAAAGGAAAGAGCATCTGCCCGTGTCTGAGACTAATAGCTCTTAGCTCTGTCCTACAACCTGTCCTCAAATCGGTGTAATCGAGTTCCCTCTCTCTTGGCTGATGTCAGACCACCAGGGAACGTTATCAAAGGCAGAGATTTGAAGGGTGAAGTGTGCTAGACACTTGTCCAGCAGAAAAACTGATCACTGCCACCACCTCCTTCACAGTGTTTTGCAAACTCTCGGCATTATACAACGTTCCCCAGCAGGAATGAGCTGAGCTCTTGTGTTTCCCAGCTCACTGCTGATGGGGATTTCCTCCTGTCTACCAGGTGAAGGGACCAGGGGTCGGACTGCTCGGTTACTCCAAAGGAGCTGATCTGTCTCTCGCCATGGCTGCCTTCCTGAAGAACATCACAGCCGTTGCATCCCTCAACGGCCCCGTAGCCATTACCTGTATTCCTCTCCGGTACAAGGATAAAACCATCCCCTCTTTGCCACTCATTGAAGAAAAGGTCAAGGTCATTGATTCCAATATCCTTGATTATTCTGACGTTGTTCTTGATGCCTTTCAAGCCCCTGGCAACCAAAGCCTGATCCCACTAGAGAAAGCTGAGGCACAGTTACTGTTCATTGTGGGACAAGATGACCATGTTCTCAAAACTGAGTATTATGCTACGGAAGTCTGCAAGCTTCTGCAGGCTCAAGGGAAGGAAAATTTTCAGATTCTCTCCTACCCTGGAACAGGCCACTGCATTGACCCTCCATATTTCCCCTTGTACCCCGTGGGAAACCATCCCGTTTTTCACAAGCGAGCAATCCTGGGTGGGGAGCCCGTGGCTTATTCTAAAGCTCAGGTTCATGCTTGGCCAAAGATCCAGGCTTTTTTCAAGAAATATTTAAATGACAACTAATGGGAAAAAAACAATAACATGCAAGCGACACACAACTCTGAACAACCAGATCCCATACATTCTTTTACATTTCCCAGGTCAAACCTGGTTCACAGGGTTTGATACAGCCACAGCATCTCCCACAGCTTTGCACATCCCAAACTCAGAAAAGAACTGGGTTTGCCTTGTATGGTTTTCCCTGAACTTTTTTGCTTATGTGTCAAGAAACGGACTGGCAAATAGATTTGCATTAGCTCGTGAGAGAACAGATCATATGCAAAATGCTCAGTTACCTTTCTCTGGTGCTTTCTTTTCTTCTAATACTTGATAGTACTTTGCATATCACTATGGTCTCTACATGCATTTCCTATCCTCAGCTCATACTGTAAAGTAACAGGTCTCCAATGCTAATTTTGGAGCAGTTTTCACCACTCATTTAGGTGAATGGAAGCATTTCCATCACAAATGGAAATGTCTGATCTCTGTGCTGCTGCAAGGGTGTAAGAATGGATGCTACAGCCAGGATTACGGGGTGTCTCTGTTTCACCCCTGGGAAGGGTTGTTTTCCCTCTGTATCTTTTCCATCTTCCCATCAGAAGGGAGTGCTCTGGCTCGTGGATACTTCTGGTCCCAAGATGCCAGAAGCCATTCTGCTAAATTTACAGCCATTGTGATCTTCCCCCACCTGATGTGGAACGTTTTTGCCTTCATTATTGGTGTGAGAACTGTAATAAAGAGCCTGAGATTTGAAAGCCATGGAGTCATTTGCTGTGCTTTGGTCAGAAGCTGGGATCTTTGCATGTCCACCACTATCTCATCCAAGGGTGGGACTTGGAGGAGCCTAGTAGTAAGAGCTGCTCAGGTGGTGAGAGGAGACAAGAGAAGACTGACACATAGCCTTCCCTTCACTCTTGCACTGCTCTTAGGCCACCAAGTGTGGAGGAAAAGGAGTGTTGCTTAGGACTTCAGGGCCCTTTCCCTTAGCAACTGCTCCAGAATACAGTCAAGCTTGTGATCAAATCCTGCACTTCAAGCCAAGGAGTATTTTTCTCAACAACAGGAGAAGTTGCCGCACATTGAGGGCTGGACACCAGACAACACACCCAAATGCTAGATGACAAAGCACCTCACCTGTTTAGGAGAGTTTGGCAATCTCCATGAGGAACAAAAGACGGCCAAAACTCTGTTCAATATCCCTGACAATATTTCTAAACAGGACAATGCTGAGGATTTCCTCTTATGTTTCCACTTGTTTCACACCACTAATTCAGACACGAGGAGCTCTGAGTGAGAGGCATCTCTATCTGGATCTCACGGGAGGAGTCAGGGAGCCTGAGGCAGCAGCTCTCCCTTTGTGATTCCCTGTGGAGCAAAAGATCAAGTTCTGGGGAAGACAGACTCAATGGCCTTCTTTTTAAAACCCTTGCACAACTTATTCCTGGCGTTCCCTGACCTGGCAGAGCAGCCTGTGAAAGTGTTCCTCCCTCATCCCTGACCACCCTTCCCAAACCACCCGGCCGTGGAACGGGCAGAGCCGGGTGGAGACAACACCCAACTCACCCAGGCCTTGGGGCAGCCAGCACGGAGGACGAGGCGCCAAGAGGCCATGAAGCAATGCCGGGCCGGCCCTGGTTTGCCTTCTCCCCGCCTGGGCCGGGGCTGGCTCCCCGCCCCTGGGCCCAGCCGCACGGCCCCGCTCGGGCTCGCTGCTGGCGGGCCGGAGCCCCTGCGCCCCCCGGGCTGCCCCGGCTCCCCGCCCCGCTCGCACACGGGCCCTTCCCTCTCCCGTGCCCCGACACTCAATCCCCACTGCGACTCGGTGGCACGTCAACGCCCCCCGCCCGGCCCCGGGGAGCTCGGGGGAACACCGAGGAGGTGCCCCCGGAGCCAGGACGGGCCTCAGGCCACAGAGTGTCCGGCAAAAAGCCCTCCCGCCGCCGCGGAGGGGAGGAGAGGGAAGGCAGGGGAGGAGGCAGGCGGGCGGGCCGAGGAACCCGCCACCCCGCTCCTCCCCGCCGGGGCGGGCACCCGCACCGCCCGCCCGAGCCCGGCCCCGGTCCCGCGGGGACCTGCCCCGGAATCTGCCCCCACAGGCGGAAGCGACCCGGGGCCATGTGGCAGGTCATTGCCCTCTCCCTGTGCCGGGCGAGCTCCCGCGGCTGGCAGAAGCGGCTGCCCCAGCCCAGCCCCGCACCCGCAGCCCCGCAGCCCCGCAGCCCCGCACGGAGCCCCGGGACAGCCCCTGCCCGCGGCCTCTCCTCCATGGCCCCCTCCATCCGCCTCTCGCCCGCCGCCCGCAGCCTCTTCGATGAGCCGCTGGCCATCGCCGTGCGGGGCCTGGGCCCGCAGCAGCCCGTCACGCTGCGGACGTCCTTGCGGGACGAGACGGGCGAGCTCTTCCAGGCCTGGGCCCGCTACCGGGCGGGGGACGACGGGGAGCTGGACCTGGCCCGCTGCCCCGCGCTGCCGGGAGGCAGCTTCTCCGGCCTGGAGCCCATGGGGCCGCTCTGGGCTCTGCAGCCCCAGAAGCCCTTCAGGCGGCTGGTGAAGAGGGACGTGCAGAGCCCCTTCCTCCTGCAGCTGGAGGTGTTTGATGGCCACGGGGAGCCCCCCGGGCGGCTCCTGGCCCAGGCGCAGCACGAGCGGGCGTTCCTGCGGGACGGGGTGCGCAGAGTCCCGGTGCGAGAGGGGAGGATCCGGGCGACGCTTTTCCTGCCCCCCGGTGAGTACCGGTCGCTCCGGGCTTCTTCCCCCCCGGGCCCTGCCTGTGCTCCCGGCCCCGCACTCCCAGGCCCGGAGCCGTGACCCCTCCAGACTCCCCTTGAGCCCGGTGGCGGGCAGAGGACAGGGGGAGCTGGACCTCTCCAGCTGGCACTGGGCACTCTTCAAGGAGCCGCCCGAATCAGCCCGACCGGCTTTGATCTGCTGGCCACACTTCTCAACGCTCCGTGGGCTAAAACACGCATGAGTTTGTTTTATTGACTTGTATCGGACATGAGGGCATCGATCACCGTACCCTTTTTGTTTCCAAATGCCGTGGGAGGTGCTGTCAGCCAGTCTTCAAGGTACCTTTCCTCTACCTGGCTCTTTTCCAGGAATTTCAGCTAGTCATCCTTTGAGTAGGTTGAAGGTTGCTCTCCAAAAGTGTAGAGTCCTAAGCCTGTTGCTTCCCTTCCCAGCCTCTCTGCAGATCCTGAACTTAATGCCATACTTGCTGTATCCCAAGCTGTCTTTTGCGGCCACATCTGTCCCCAGTTCTTCCCCATTTATGAGCAAAAGATAAGTAAAGCATTAGGAATATCTGCCCTTGGAGTATTTCTGTCAGAAAATAATCTTTGAGGAGGTCTGTGAGGTTTTCAGGTTGCCTGACTGTTAAATTAGAAGCCGCTGCCTGAGCTTTCACGAACCATTCAAGGAGCAAGACACAGCCTGTCACTGCTCAGGCCAGGGTCCCTTCACAGCAGGTGAACCCAGTTTGGTGAGTGGAGTGGTCCCCCTTTTGACTCCTCACACACTGACTGTCAGGCACGTGTCCTCCTTCTTCAGGCTTGACCCTAGTTTCCTGCAGCAGAGCCTCACATGTTGGGTTTTATACCAATAAATAATTTAATTGAAAGGTACAGCGCAGGGTCAAGCTAACTGGGTGCCTCCAGAGAGGGACGTCGAACAAAGAAATCCCTGGGGAATTACAACCTTCCAATCTCTACACCTGCTTCTCACGTGCTCTCCACATGTCTTTCGGTCCAATGGGGATTTTTGGTCTGGGGTCTTCTAACACCTTACTGAATTCTTTATCTTGACTGCTCTTAACTTCTTTATTTACTGGCTCTGCTGACAGTTGTAGCCTCCTTATCTTCTGGTTTATGCTTCTTGTCCCCCTGCACCCACTACTGGCAGAACACGGGAACTGAAGAGGCCCAGACTTAAGGAAAATGCTACCAAAACATCAGTGTGTTATCAATGTTTTCCTTATGCTAAAGAATAAACACAGCACTGTACCAACAGCCTCTCTGCAGATCCTGAACTTAATGCCATACTTGCTGTATCCCAAGCTGTCTTTTGCGGCCACATTTGTCCCCAGTTCTTCCCCATTTGTGAGCAGAAGATAAGTAAAGCATTAGGCATGTCTGCCCTTGGAGTATTTCTGTCAGAAAATAATCTTCGAGAAGGTCTGTGAGGTTTTCAGGTTGCCCGACGGTTAAATTAGAAGCCGCTGCTTGAGCTTGCACAAACCATTCAAGGAGCAGGACACACCACCCCAGCCTGTCACTGCTCAGGCCAGGGTCCCTTCACAGCAGGTGAACCCAGTTTGGTGAGTGGAGTGGTCCCCCTTTTGACTCCTCACACACTGACTGTCAGGCACGTGTCCTCCTTCTTCAGGCTTGACCCTAGTTTCCTGCAGCAGAGCCTCACATTTTTGACTCCTCACACACTGACTGTCAGGCATGTGTCCTCCTTCTTCAGGCTTGACCCTAGGTTTCCTGCAGCAGAGCCTCACACGTTGGGTTTTATACCAATAAATAATTTAATTGAAAGGTACAGCGCAGGGTCAAGCTAGCTGGGTGCCTCCAGAGAGGGATGTCGAACAAAGAAATCCCTGGGGAATTACAACCTTCCAATCTCTACACCTGCTTCTCACGTGCTCTCCACATGTCTTTCGACGTTGGGTTTTATACCAATAAATAATTTAATTGAAAGGTACAGCGCAGGGTCAAGCTAGCTGGGTGCCTCCAGAGAGGGATGTCGAACAAAGAAATCCCTGGGGAATTACAACCTTCCAATCTCTACACCCGCTCCTCATGTGCTCTCCACACGTCTTTCAGTCCAATGGGGATTTTTGGTCTGGGGTCTTCTAACACCTTACTGAATTCTTTATCTTGACTGCTCTTAACTTCTTTATTTACTGGCTCTGCTGACAGTTGTAGCCTCCTTATCTTCTGGTTTATGCTTCTTGTCCCCCTGCACCCACTACTGGCAGAACATAGGGAACTGAAAAGGCCCAGACTTAAGGAAGTTGTCCCCCTGCACCCACTACTGGCAGAACACGGGAACTGAAGAGGCCCAGACTTAAGGAAAATGCTACCAAAACATCAGTGTGTTATCAATGTTTTCCTTATGCTAAAGAATAAACACAGCACTGTACCAACTGCTAGTCCAATGGGGATTTTTGGTCTGGGGTCTTCTAACACCTTACTGAATTCTTTATCTTGACCGCTCTTAACTTCTTTATTTACTGGCTCTGCCGACAGTTGTAGCCTCCTTATCTTCTGGTTTATGCTTCTTGTCCCCCTGCACCCACTACTGGCAGAACATAGGGAACTGAAAAGGCCCAGACTTAAGGAAGATGCTACCAAAACATCAGTGTGTTATCAATGTTTTCCTTATGCTAAAAGACTAAACACAGCACTGTACCAACTGCTAGGAAAATTACTAAGAAAATTAACTCTATTGCAGCCTAAAGGCTTCAGCAAATCTAGATACTTATGCCAAGTAAAGGTAGGCAAACAGCGTAAATCACACCATAATATAACCCCAAGTAATTTATTCTAATTAAAACTTACTTATTTAAGCTAAACAATTAATATCTGTCAACATGACAAATGCTGTGCTGTCCTCCCAGCGGCCATCCAGGCTTCTGCTAGTTGTAGGAAGCCTCATCTCTTGCCTCCTCTTGCGTGGTCTGTAGCAGCCACACCACCACCACATCCCACCTTTCCTTCCCCCTGTGACCCAGAGGCTTTCACCAAGCATGTCTCTGGAGCTCCATGTACTCAAGGAGCTCCTCTATGTAGTACGTGGCTTCCCTTCTCCCCTTTCTTCCCTCTCTGCCCCTGGTAACTCCTCCGTGATACTGCCAAAATCATACATGCTGTCCCAGCCAGTGTCCTGAACGATGATTGCATTTTAGCTCTGTGGCTGCTGTAGAATTTCCAGTTCTTCTTGTTCATTGCCCAATTTCTGCATGTTAGTCTGTGGACACCTCACCTCATCCTGCCTTCTGAGCAGGAACGGGAGTCTGCCTCTTGGCCTCCTCCTTTCTGTGCTTCGTTTGCAGCAGTCCCTCTCAGCTCTGGATTCAGCTCCCTGTTCCCTGATGAATCCAATGTAAAGCTTCCCATATCAGATTAGCAAGGCTCATTGCAAATACTTTCTTCTCTTAATCCCAGAATAAATGGCTCTGGTACTTTTACACTGGAACTGAGAAGCTGGAACCATCAGAAGATGATATTTTTTTGCATCTTCTGAGAAACACACTGGGGAGAGGCCTCCTGGGTGTTTTTGAAGCAGAGCTTGATACCTTTGCAGGGAATTTGCATAATAAAGAGAACTAGTTCTGACTGTCAAGGGATCCCTGCCCTTCCAGCCAGGTGTTCCCCAATGTTATCCAAAACGCTATCAGACCTGCTATTTTGTGCTGTCTCCTTTAATCTTGAGGCAACGTAGCCATTTATTGAAAACTGGGACCCTTAGTACCATTCTGCTGCTCTATGTTTTATTCTTTTTTAAAAGAACACATTCCCAGGCCTATGAATTTGAAATATAAATTAAAAATTGCAGGTTAATGTGCCCTTTATGTGATCTCTTGCAGGAAATGGCCCCTTTCCGGGCGTTATTGACTTGTATGGAACTGGAGGAGGACTCCCTGAATACAGGGCATGCCTGCTGGCCAACTATGGCTTTGCTGTGCTGGCTCTGGCTTACTATGGCTATGAAGATCTCCCCAAAGACATGAAGGAATTCCACCTGGAATATTTTGAAGAAGCCGTGAACTACATGCTACAACACACCCAGGTTGGTTTGTTCATTGACTCTCACTACAGGGAGCTCTCATTAGTCAGGTCCTGTCAGACTGCAGATGGGGCAGAGCTGCTGGACTTAAAACAGCATCTCCATGCAAGTTGGCTGTTACTAGTATCTTTTGTATCTTTAACTCCCATTACAATGGTTCTCTGGCAGATTATTCCAGTTCTGCCTTTTGGGTACTAGTTGCCTGAAGGCTTATTTGGCTTCCATGTGGCTTTTAGGTTCATGCTCTGTAGAATTTAGTTCCTTCAGAACTAAATGCCCTTTTCAACCTTGAAGGACATGATAGGCTTCTGTGATCCAGGTCTCAGGGAAGTCCACCGGTACATTTGTTGCTGTGCATTGTATAAGGTGGTAAAATCAAGCCAAATGTTGGAATTTGGTGAGTGTGGATTTTTGTAGCTAGTTGTGAACTTGGGGATCCTTCTAAGTCGACACCTCTTGGAAGAGTACCCTGCTCGGGTCTGCATCTTTTTCCAAGTAGCTGTGCATGATAATAACTAGAATTGCACCAGGAGGCACTTGGTTTCTCTGGAGAGCTCAAAATAATTACCTTCAACCTCAGAAAGATGAGTAGTTGTTAAAGGTCTTGATTACTTTTCAGTCCCTCATATGCTAACTGCTCGTGCCACCTCTCTGCTCAAAAAACTCTGAAAATTGCTTTTTTGTTTCCCCTGAGAGCAACACCATAGCATCCCATGATCATCTCTGCTGATACCCTCACCGTGTTTTCAACACATTGCAAAGTTTCAGCCACATCTCCATGCTTCAGATTCGGTGGGTTTGGAGTCTATTACAGTGGTGATAAGATAAAAAAGGTATTAAATTTGGCTGCTGCCTCAGAGCCTTTTTACCTCTGAAGGTCTTTGGATGTTGGAGCAGTTGTGATATTAGCTAGCCGTCCAGTGTCCTTACAGGATTTCAGTACCCCATAAGATCATTTAGCTTTCCTAGTCTAGTTAACTTGCCCGTGTAAAAGAAGGTGAAGGTAACCTATTCTAGATTGACTCCAGAGGACTGGACAATTTGCTTATAAAAATGCTTATAAGAGGTTCTTTTTAAAAGATATTTTTTAATGAGTAAGCTACCTCAGAATACTTCCTTTTCACTGTGATTTAGACACCAAGTATATTAGAGAAATGGGAGGGCAGCTGATGTGGAGTCTGCTACCCCTCTTGTGAGCTTCTTGAAAGGAAAATAGAAGAGAGTGGTTGAACATAAGAAATACCTCATCATAACTATTGACAGTGTCATAGTCATTGGAGCATTTTGCACTGAAAGGAAGCATTTGTGGAAGAGGCTTCCCCTGCCCCTTCCCTCTTCTTCCCTGAACTGCCTTATAAGCAAAGTGAATCTGGGGCTGCACATTTGTATGCTTTTTGCAATCATAGCTGTAGCCTCTACAGTACCTTCAGCACTGAAGCCTTGTACTATTATAAGGATGAGCCTGTAGTCTCAGCACGGCTTATGATCATCAGTCAAGCACAGAACAGTGTCCCAGACATGGGCCTTGCACACAGGACCTTAGATGCCTCCACCTGAGGTCCAGATTCAGGACAGACAGTGCTGCGAACATGGCAACATTTCAAAGAAGCGGCATGCCATAGTTCATGGCTTGTGGTTTCTCTTCTCTCCCCTCCAGGTTAAAGGTCCGGGGATTGGGTTGCTTGGAATCTCAAAGGGGGGTGACCTGTGCATCTCCATGGCCTCCTTCCTAAAGGGCATCACGGCCACCGCCCTTATCAACGGCTCAGTGGCAAATGTGGGCTCAGTACTCCGCTACAAGGACATCACCATTCCGCCTCTCAGTGCCGATGTAAAACGCATCAAGCTCACCGAGTCTGGGATTGCTGATATTGTGGATGTACTGAACAACCCGCTAGAAGGGCCTGACCGCCAAAGCTTTATCCCTTTGGAGAAGGCCGAGTGTCGCTTCTTGTTCATTGTTGGTCAGGATGATCGCAACTGGAAAAGTGAATTCTTTGCAGTTGAGGGGAGCAAACGTTTGCAAGCTCATGGGAAGGAAAAGCCTGAGGTAGTCTGTTATCCTGGGGCAGGGCACTACATTGAACCCCCCTTTTTCCCGATGTGTGCAGCCTCAATGCACCTGCTAGTTGGAAAGCCTGTGGTGTGGGGAGGGGAGCCCAAGGCACACAGTGAGGCACAGGTAGATGCTTGGCACCAGATCCAAGCTTTCTTCCACAAACACCTCGCAGGCAAGCCATCTGGAACATCCAATAAGCTGTGATGTGAGTTAGGTTACTTTACTGATCAAGAGGCTAGTGTTTCAAGTTTGTTTTGTTAAATGGCTCTGAATGAGAACAAAAAACATCAGAGAATAAGCTATTGGGTTTCTTGGAGGATGATAGTGGGTGAGAGCATGAGAGCTGCTTCCTTTTAACACCCTCCTTTAACCTTGCTTAGAGGCTGCCTGTTGTGTGTAGTATGGGATTACAAACTGGAAAAATGGTGGTGGTAAGGCTGGGCCTGCTTTGAATGTGAATTTAAGTGGAAGGGAACTCATCCAAGCTGAGAACTGGGATGAAAATTTGCCTTAGCTATCTCAGAGGAAACATGTTGTATGCCCTTACAAGAGTCAGCTTCATGCTCTAGTTTTGTCTGGAAGTAGCGACTCTCTTTTCCTCCAGCAATCTCTCTGTTCTCCCTTTGCACTTCCCTCTCCTTTGGTGCTCCTTCCTCTTCTCCCACATCACTGAAATGCACCTTAACACCTTAACACTTAATATCTAATATTTCACTTACCAAAAGCAGCAATACTTTACTTGCATCTTCAGATAACACATCTCCCCTTTGTAGACAACAGCCCACGCGTAGCCTGACACAACGTTCTGAACACAGGCATGTGGCCTAAAAATGAGGCATTTGTATGGTTTTGGAAAGTTTGCAAGGATGAAGGAACAGCAGAATTGGACCAGTTGGTAGTCATGCCGAGAACTGCTGGTGGGCCTCTCCTCAGCAGGGCTGGGCATCCCTGTGTAGGTCCACAGCACTCTTGAGGGACATTTTCTCCCTGCCTGGATGTTCCTTTTAGTTCCTTCGTGGCTGCCAGCCTGTAAGCGCTGCCAAAAACTGGCGGGCAGCCGAGCTGGCCTGGCAGCTCCCTGAGGCATCGTCTTTTCCTTGCCGTGTAGGCCAGCCATGCATGGGGTCGGCGTGGCTGTGGTGGCAACCGGCCCCTCTCCTGCCAGGCCCAGTGGGCCTCTGGCCTCCATTTCTGCGTCCTCTCAGGAGCCGGGGGCAGCGGGGCCTGCTCACCCCGCACCAGGGGGCTGTCAGTCCTGTTTGCCACCCAGGGGCGAGTTTGACAGAAAAAGCACTGAGTATCGCTCGTGGGGCGCTGGCGAGTTTGCACTATTGTATAAAGATAAGTTTTTAATACGTCGGTGCCTTACAAAGCCGAGTGGTTATCGTCTAAAGTTGCTGTTTGTGTTTTACGTGAGTTGCGTTGGTGTGCTCATGATACGGTTTGCACTTACTGCATTGTAATTATTATTTTTTAACGGATTAAACCCGAACGTTAACCTCTACCGACGGCTCCCGGTGCTCTGAGGGGGGGGGTGGGGGATGAAGCGGGAGGCGGGAGCGGCCCGGGGAAGGCGGGGGGGGAGCGGGCGGTGCTTTCCCCGCCCCGGCCCCGCTGTGT